TGGGCGGGACTCGGCAGACACTACCAAGGAGGCAATATATGCTCTTTTTGCTGTTCTTAAAGTCCGAATATACTCCTTGGTGCATGCTGTTAAAGTGCCCGCTTTGACTCGGACCTATCGGACCTCCACGAGTGCTCTAGGCGTCTCCTCCGGCGCTTTATCTCCCGGAGCTCCTCAGTGAACCAAGGAGGCCTCCGGGGGCCGCTGACCCGGAGGGGCCGTAGTGGCGCAATCCGGTCTAGAGACCCCGAAGCTGCCGAGTGCCAGGCAGCGATGAGGGTCTCCACCGAACCTACCCTACAGTTTGAGATATAGTGACTGAACTATAAATGATCAGAGGGTTGGACTAGAAGACTCCCAAGGTCCATTCCAACCCTACTATTCTGTGCTCTTTGTTATAATTATCATGATTTCTACTCCCTTGAACCATTGTACCATAAGACAGCAATTTGTTTGGTTGAGTTGGAGCTGCAACTTCAAGAAACAGAAGATTCTTGTGGGAAATTTAAAATTGGAAAAGTAAAAAGATATACTGTGGATAGGAGGATAATAGGTAAAAGGAGTATGAAAAGGAATGAGAGGGCATTTAAGGTATATGAAAAATGTACTGGATAGTATGAACATGGGGGAAGTGAATAATTTTAGCTGCAGAATTCTGCATAAAGATCTTAAGATTAAAGGCAAAAAGATACACAAAGGACGCCATCATAATAATCTATGTAACCTTGATAGAAAATGGGTTTCCATAGCTTATTTCCCAGTACATGTTGTCATGTGAATGAGTCCTAAGCTACATGTTTTTTTGTTTTGTTTTTCACTTGTATTTTTAAAACTTCCACCTCTATGTTTACATCTTTCTTTTGTTACCAGGAATCAGAAAAACTGGAAACAATCAATGCAGAACTGAAAGCTCAGATTGAAGAGTTGAAAAATGAGAAGCAGCACTTGATCTACATGCTCAACCTACATAGACCCACCTGTATTGTCCGTGCCCAGAATGGTAGGACCCCAGAGGATGAAAGGAACCTTTTCATTCAGCAGATCAAAGAGGGAACCTTGCAAGGCTAAACGATAATGAGGCAGTGCTCAATGTTCTTTAACCATGCTTCTTACCATTAAAACAACAACTTGCCATCCCAAGTAAGAAGCCATGCTGAAATTTCAGCATTTGTGACCTCCATTTACTCAAGAGAAGATGGATCTGACATGATTTTGCCGAGAAGAAAGGACTATGGTAGCTTAGCTCCAGCTTTCCCAAGCAAAGACTCAGTTGGGTGGAAGGGAGCCACAGCCTTTCCTCCAGGTCTAACCAGTGCCACACTTGCTATCGTAGAAGCAATATGGCTTTACACTTGGTAAACTCCTGCTGGCATGCAGTTACAATGTTTCTGGTAGGGTCGAAGGGCTCTCTATGATGCACATCTGATGAATTGTCAAGCTGAAAGGATTCCACTCACTAGATAGGGAATGTAGGTGGACTGGATTGTGTTTTGTTTGTTTTGTTTTATACTTTCAAAGAAAAGAGGTTAGCAACTTCCAGAACGCTGTTTTCAGTTCCAAAAGGCATTGCAATATAATGGGAATTGCTCTGTTTCTACAACTAGTACAAGATTTAACTTGGGCACTGCACTTTGTTAAAAAATGTTTTCATAAAAGCCCTTCTGTGGGTTTTTGATGACTCAACTTAGAGGTGCTTGTGGGACAATGTGACAAGCTTAAGGGTATTGCAGAATTGCTCACTGAATTAAGACTCAATATATCAAACTGGAGCATTACCACTCTTGGCTTACTTTAAGAAGGGGGAATGTCCCTTTCAAAACTCAATTGATGAGTCACATGCAGTATTCAAAAGACCTTTATACAATCATGGTATAATCACTAGAGATGTAAAATTGTATGCCTTCCTGACTTGTGATTTATCTTGTCCTTGATCTTCATTTTACAAATGTTTCTTTGGCACAATCTTTCTCAGAATCAGAGAATGTAATTGCTGGCAATTTACAAATATTGATTTATATGTAGACATTGATTAAGTGAAAACATTGTCCACTAATGAAGGTTATGGCTTTGCTAGGAAGAAAAAGTACAGTAAAGGTGGGTTCTGTGGTTTGGATTTGTTTTGATGGAATGTTTCACATCACAAAAGCAATGCTCTTCTTTTCATGAGGCAAGGTGACACAATTCTCCTTGGTGAGTCTGGATTTGGAGTTGTCTTGAATCCTTACGTGGCAGATTCATGAATCAGAAGAGACTTTGAGTCAGCTTCTGGCAGCACCAGAAGAAGCTTGTACATGCACATAAATGTCTTTCATCTAATGAACCTGTCAGAGAAAATAGTCAAAACCAATAAAATGATGTAACATGGCCCTTTTGCTTTTAAAAATGGGTCAGGGGATGCCACTTTAAAGGTATATTTCACTGACAGTATCCCTTTGAAGACTGGTGAGGAAGTAGCCGAAGAACCTTGACTACTTAAGAACTTCAAAGTAAGCCCAGGAGATACTTCTTTCATCATTTTGTAAAGTAGTAGAAGCTAGTATTGGAGGCTTCCCAGTTGTATTTAAGCCAGCTGCTGAGTCTCAATCCATGTTGGGCTGATATATGGACAACAAATTGTCCATTAGAATTATGGAAGCATACCTTAAAACCAGCATTGGCCTTCCATATAATCAAAAGTAAACATTAAACACTGGCAATGTTAACTTTTAGCTTAAACTTCTTAAAGTGTTCTTCTGCAGGTCATTCTTCTAGATATGTACCAGTAACAGCTAAATTCTCCGAATTCCCAACCAGCATGATCAAGAGACAATGTACATTAGGCATTATGGGAATATTTCTTTCGGATGACCAATGTATTATTTCTAAGGTTCTTTTACCTGGGAAGTGCTATGATTGTATTATCTTTACTGTTTTCAGATGGAGGAATGACTGTCTTAGAGTAGTGTTTCTCAATCTTGGCAGCTTTATGAAGAGTAGACTTCAACTCCCAGAACTCTGGAAGTTGAAGTCCACCTTTCTTAAAACTTTCAAGGTTGAGAAACACTGGTTTAGAGTGAAACATATGGTGAAATGTTATGAAGCTGTAATTAGATGAAGTTGTAATTTTGATCTGGGAGATACTGTCCTGATGAAATATAGCAACAAAGGACTGGGGAGGAGAATGTTCCCACCTTTTACTCCTTCACACACACTCTTGGTTAAACTGAAATGCAGAAGGTTAAATCAGGGACCTCTTGCATAAGAAGCAGATGCAATGATTCCTCCCTTATTCCCAATAGATTTTGTCACAAATGAACCTTCTGGTTGAAGTCCTGACTGGGATAAAACCCCAAGCCCAATTGTCTACACATATGACTAATTTCAACAGTGACAATCATTGTTATGCAGAAGTGATGGGAAGGGAGGATTAATTCCGGATATGATATGCCTTGTTCAAAAGGCCAGCCTCAGTTCCCAGGCTTTTCAGCGAGGATCTCTGTATATTCCTAAACAGAACAAGAATATTGTGTCTCGGATTTTAACAATTCATATTTATAATAAAGAATAAAATTGAATCAGGAAGTCTGTACAATGTTGATTATCATTTTAGATCTCAAATTCTGGAAAATTGAAGGGTTTGTTTTCAAAACGTACATTCTTCTTTACAAATTTCAAAATAATACAAAAACAAAATTACAAAAATGAACAAAAGTTCAAATGTTTTATGAAATATGTTATAGAATTTAAATTGGAGGACTCAAGTTTTTAATTCTGCAATTTTTGCTCTGGAAAAACTTGATTTTAAAAAATGGCACATACTTTTTTAAAAATTGCTTTATTCTTTTAGGTATATTAACGTTTGCATATTTTAGTTTTTGAGATCTATTTTCTTTAATGACAGAATTGAAGCAGTAGACTACATACCTTGCAAAAAGAATACTTTGTCCAAGTATTACCTCTGTTAAAATTCAGATGCATGTACAACCTTTAAACAGCAACATCAAAATGTAGACTCTCAGTCTTGACTAGCTTATTTCTTATCTCACACTACTTTTTACATTCTGCAATAGAAGTATTTGATATGCTTTCAATAATCTGGATATATTGTTATGTCCTTTACATTACTATGTTCCAAATACATACCGATATATATTTCATGTAACCAAAATACAAGGAAATGGGCCAAAATCTGTCTCTTTAGAGAAATATTTTTTCTTCCAGCATCCAAAATTGCTTTTTCTGAAGGTTTTTTATCACCATATTTGACAATATATCTCAGTGGCCTTTGCATATTAATTCATTGACTAAACTTTATAAGGAGGGGTATTATATAACTGCTAACTTCTAGCAGCTGAGTAAATTGGGTTTATTTAACAATGATTCTATGGACCACTGCAGTTATATATGATTATACAGTGGTGGGATTCAGCCAGTTCAGACCACTTGGGAGAACTGGCTGTTGGAAGAAATCATTAGGGCAGAGAACCGGTTGCTAAATTATTTGAATCTGACCACTGATTATACAGCATGTAACCTTCTGTAACTGTTGTTGTCTCTAAAGCATTCATTCAAGGTAGATGCTGTGAACTGGATCCAAAAATGAAAAGTGGAAGGAAATATATAGCTTGTGCTTCAAAGGGCACAGAAGAATATCCCAATAGACTTCATTATTAGTGTAACATGTTCCTTGCTTAAGTGAAAGTTGTCCTCAACATGAAAGTTGAGAAACATGACCAGAACAAATAGAATCAGTCACTTTAAAAAAGGAGGTCTGGAAATTATCCATACCCAATTAATCCTCAAGCAGCAAACCAAGCTACTACATGAAGGAATTAGTTCAAGTCCTCCCCATTCCAATGAGATGTACTGTATTATTACTTACATGTTAGGAATGATTTCCAAATGTGTATTTCTGCATATAAATTTGCATATATGTCAGCCAATCTTGTAAGCTCCTTTGCACTTTTTCTTGTTTATTTGGGTGGGAGTTGATATATTTGCTTTGATGAATCTTCTTGTCATCCTAGTCCAGTTTTCACAATTACAGTATATTTCTACTTTGGAAGAACATCTCAGGATTTGCTTTCATTTTGTTTAATTAATGATCTAGGATCTCAAAAGATATATGGAGTAGACCTTTTGTAAGCAGAAGATAGCTTCCACTTATCCAAAGACTCTGAGTTCAAAGCCCTTCTCAAGATAATAAAAGTTATCTTCAGTGCTAGCACAATATATTACTCCTAAAGGCATTTACAGACCCACTGTCCATATATTTCAGCCGTTTCCAAAAGCCATTCAAAAAAACAAAGAAAATATGCTGTTTTATGTATCATGTTATATAGACCATTTCATGAGAGAATTAAGATTTTTCCCTTGAATATTTTTCTATGCGTGTTTGTTATACTATTTAAAATGACGCAGGCGTCATGCTGCTGCTGCTGCTTCAAGTTACACAAATGTTGTTAACTAGCATGCCGAATGTTTACTAAGGCGCTGCTACCTTTGTCAAAAATATTTCTTTTTTAGCTGTTGCTGCACGTTAGTTCATTTGAGTTTGGAGACAGCATGTGCCTCAAGAGGGTACAATGGTATATATTTTTTCATCGCTTGAGAGAGAATAATGGACAGAAAAGACTGGATGTGAAATATTCTGTAATCCTGTTCTATTTTCAGGACTGTACTCTGATGAACTCTATGCCAGAGAAAATCCACCTGATGTAACTTTGCTTATTTGTAATGGCTGTGGATGTGATCATGGTGGAATTTCCCCTTATTATCTAAAGCATATGCAAACCCCTACATGATCAGATACTGTTCTTTGGGGTGGTTAGGAGATATTTGAATGGGAGAAGTGCATGAATGTATTTATCTATTTTTATTTGAACATTTAATAATACAATAAAGATGGTTTGTTTTTTTTAATTAAGTTTTATGTTTTGATACTTTCATAATAATAAAGACTAATGTGTGTTTCCCCCTTATTTGCCTAATTTGTCTTGTTTGAAGGACCAATGTTCATGTAGAACCTCTACATAGTTATTTTTTCAGTGTGTCCTAACTAATGCCAGTTCGCTGCATGACCCTTAGCAAGTGTTCATGTTAAGCCAACATCATACCTCACTTCCCACTCTGTGCCAGTGTCATCATTTTTTATCTGGACTTCTATTGTCTTCACTCATCATGATATTGTATCTGGATTGCTAAGGGAGCCACACAGTTTCTCATACATACTAAGCTATAAACAATTATCTCTTCTATCTATGTTCAAACAATGAGAAAAAAGGCAATCCTTTCACAATCTAATTCAGATCATTAATTAATCAATCACCGGTCACACTGAGATACTATGTGGGTACAGAGATGATAGATAGATAGATAGATAGATGGATGGATGGATGGATGGATGGATGGATGGATGGATGGATGGAAAGACGGACGGATGATAGGTGAGAGAGAAAGAGAAAGATAGGTTATAGACAGATATGGATTTCAGGATAACTGATATATGACCTTCATATTTCCAATGACGGAATATAAATAATTGTCTTTGTTTTTCTTATTAAACTTAAAAGCCCCAAATGTAACTTAATAGAACTCTATTACTATTAAAAAAAAATCAAATGCATTTGTCTTACTCCATTTAAGAGCATATTCTCACTTCCACATCTCCAGTTCTGCTTTTTCAGTGGCTGCTCACCATCTTATCTGAAAGTGAAATTTTGGGCACTTTCAATTTTGCAACTATTTTGCAAACCTTCTGTTGACTTAATTGCCTCTTTAAAAATGCTTTGTTCATTTCTACTGCATTTTAATCACTTTGGAGTAATCCTTTGGAAAATGCAATAGGCAA